TTTCTTTCTTTTTCTTCCAGATAAATTATCATTATTACAAGAAAAAAAATAATAAATTTGCAAAGAGTCACCGCTAGAACTGTAGCTCACATTAATGTTGAAAATTACACTTAAAAGTGTCTATTACAATTATATATACCTTATAGTAAATTTCATTTTTCATTTCATACCAGACTGAAACGACAAAAAACTTCTCCACGTTTCCGATTACTTCACGACTGACTAGACAAACGCTCTAAACTTCCAATTGATTAAAAAATACTCATATACAGGACTATAATAAGGGCTATTTGGACTTACGGAGTTGAGCTATGGGGCTTCACTAATTCCTCTAGTATACAATCCTTACAATCCAAAATCCTTCGTAAAATCCTCAATGCTCCCTTCTTTGTTATAAATAAAACCATCCATAATGACCTTAATGTTTCAGATCTGGCCCAATCCAGATACCTATCCTTCCATAATAAACTTCAGAATCATCCCAACCCTCTCGTTTCTAACCTTGCTTCCTCTTCAATTCCTGATAAACCTCCGAGGCGTATGAAAAGAAGGCTCCGTGATCTCCAAATGTCATTAGAGTGCTACCATTGGGTAGTTACTCAGTAAGTGTTTTCACGTCATTATATCCATATGTTCAAATTTACTAGATGTATTTCTTTAATATAGTTGTAAATATTATTAAGAATAATAAAAAAAAATTCATTTTGTTAGTCGCGATGCAAGTAGATTCTAGAGCAGATGGTATAACGATGCTACTAATATTACTAATAATACTTTGTATAAAATATTTAAATAATAACACGTTTATCTATCTAATTGTTCATTATGGGTCTATAACGTAAACTTACTCGCATACGTTTAGAGAGAAACAGCAACACAATCAAAAAATGAATTGTATTGCATAAAGCATTTCGAGCAAGCGGAATCGCGTGCATCGCATCATGTCAATATTGCTTAAGCATTGCAACAATTTATTGGGATAGATAACACCCTTATCACTAAAGGATTAATCAGCTCTGTACCAACAGTCTTAACTTCTGAGAAATAGGAAGTAACATAAATGGGAGTATTATTGCCTTAGTTCTGAACTCGTTGTTGGTATTATCAATATCAAATTGTTTGCTAATAAAGGACCAATTGATTTAAAAAAAAAAAAATTATATCAAACCTTTTTTGGTAATTTATAAAAAAAATCTACAGTGAGGCTTTACCATGATTACTATTAAAACTCCATCAGGAACAAAATCGAGGAACGCACTTGACGCTTCCTTCAGTATCGCTTCGGTGTAACCCTATGACACCATCCGAAACGGGACCCAATATTGATTGGAGCAAGAACCAATGGGAGCAGTCTTCAGAGCGCCCGCTGCTACATCTGGCCTTGATACAGCTTTAGGAAGGCTCCAATTGGATATTATCATGGAGAGGGTCTACCCAACCACCATGAGCTTCTCAAGGTTACAAGGTCAAGTTTCTTAATCAACTCCATTACTTACTTTTCGTTACGAGCAATTACCAAATTTAAGTTTAAGTTGTAGCAAGTTGTGTAATTAACAATTTTTTAATTTAGTCATAAAAAATAAGGAAATTTTGTATTCAAATCGAGGAAAATGTGCAAAATGGGTAATGATGATGTTATTGATAAATTATATATTTTTTTAAGTATATAAAAGATCAATTTAAAAAAAAAATCTTTTACCTCATATACTGTTTATTATTCAACATAATATTTTAACTTTAGAAATAAAATAAATAATAATCCTAATGTGAACAAGCATATTCTTAATATGTTCCATCAGTATATTTGGGATATTAAAAAAAACACAAGAAAGAATGAAAACTGTTTAATTATTTTAACGACAGAGGTTAATTATAATATTGTAGTTCTGAAAACAAATTTTAAAGAAAAATTAGCCATTTTTTTCTTCACTTATTTCCTTTTTCCGTTCGTCTGTCCATTTTCTTCCTTCCTTTCTACTCTTTTCTAATCCAAAGTAGGAATGGGTCGCATTGTATGTATCAGATACATTGTATCTGATACAAGCAGTAGATACAATCCAAAAATATCTGATACAGATACTCACATGGATGGATACAAATGGTTTTCCTGATCTATGTTTTTTTGTAGATAAACACATTCAGGCTAATTTATTTTGGTAATGTAATGTTAATTGATATAAACTTTCTCTGAAGTTGACAATTCATTTATTTTAGTTCAGATTTTATGACTTATTTGTATGTAATATTTTATTAATTGTAACTACAATTTTCACTTCAATGGATTAAATATATTCTCACATCTACTATTTTAGTCTAGTTTTGTTATACTTTTAATCCATAATGTTCATTCATAATAATATTTGTAGAAAATTTTCATTTCCAAACTAATATGTACATCAAAAAACGTTATTTTACTTCTAAACCAACTATGCAGCTTTAATTCAAATTGTATATTTTGGTGAGTATTTATAACATTAGAGTACTATAATTTATTTACGTGGTAGAAATAAATTAAATTTTTCAGTTGATTGTTTTAATAAAATTGAAAATGAGGTAGACAAACATTATAGTTATTTGAAAACCGGGGGAAATGACTGAATGCAAAAAAATGAGAAATATTTCAATAGGTAAACTGCGAATGTTGCCCAAGAATGATGTCAGTTTAGCAGAGCTTAGACAGATAAAAGTACCCATGCCGTTTGTACTTGATACACACTGAAGGTTAGATACTTTTATCAGATACCTGAGAAGTATTCATACTTGCGCTACGGTGTGATACCTGATAATTGTATTGAATATTTTTATCTGATACCTGGACTTGATACACTGAAGGTTAGATACTTTTATCAGATACCCAAGTGGTATTCATACTGGTGGGTGCTAAGGCTTGAAACCGCAATAATGGTATCGGATATTTTTATCCGACTATCCAACTGTAATTGATTACTGGTTTGGTTTGATATTTTTAATACCTATCTGATACCTAATAAAACATATATTAAATATGTACCTGTATATATTTTATTAATTTAATATTAAATTTGTTAATGTATTAAATACTTTACACCATTTTTAAATTCAATAGTTTTAATGACTGACTATATAGTTATGTCAAGCACTATGCAGATATGTACACATTTTTTTAAAAACAAAATATGCTATATATATTTGACAAAAGAATGGAATATATTTAATTAAAAATAAAAATATAACGAATTCATGAAGAGTAAAATTTTTCCTGTTAAGAAATTCTTTTTCTTTTTAAATCTTATTTTATTGAGAAAAATACATTTTGCCTCAATTAAAGGCAAATAAAAGAATCTAAAGTAGTTTGTAGCAATTAAAAAAAAAACTCTTAATAACTAAGTTAACTAACTTAATAACATACACAAATATATATATATATATATATATATATATATATATATATATATATATATATATATATATATATAATATATATATATATATATATATATATATATATATATATAATAATAAACCATAGTATTAATTTGATACTAATATGAATAGTATTAATTTAATACTGCTTCAAACGCAAATTAATATGAAGGTAATTAAAAACTACTGACCCATTTGTATCAGATACAAAAAAGTACCAGAATCAGTTGTATCCAGATACAAAAATTCTTTTATGAAACCATCCCTAATCCAAAGAACTCCATCTTATTCCATTGTGCTCTTTAATTCATCCCTTTCTAGGTATTCATCTTCTTTTACCTAAGTCTGTCTATTTCTTCCTGTTCAGGGTATCCTTTGATGTTCTTCAGTCCCATTACTTCGTCAAATATCTGGATTTCATCTCTATCTTTACTCTTTTCATCATGTGACCTAAACATTTCAATCTCCTTTTCCTCGCTGATTCTTCTCCAATTCTTCATTCTTTTTAGGTCAGTACTCATCACCCACCTTTTTCGGCCCATGGATACACCTTAGTATCTCCCTTTTCGTTTTAAGTAGCTTTTCGATACGCGTAAATTATTTAATTATTCTAATCAAAATTAGCTACCTACCTTCAACACTCAAGCTTTTGTAAATTTTTACTTTACCTTTGCTAATTAAATTTAAAAAATGCTCTTGTTTAATTCTGTTGTGCTTGTTAAAGTACTTGCCGTTTGTTACTCTAGTCTTTAGTTATACATTTCTATTGATATTTTAAAACATTTTAATAACTAAATGGTAAATTGCAACTTTGATAAAATTTTAATAAATAAATACAAATATTCGTATTGCTCATAAAGGGCATTGATGGGTAAATAAGTTAAGATTGCGTATGTTTATGGTATAATATATATATTAGTAACAGTGTTTTAAAGGAGATAAGGAATATGAAAAAAAAAAAAACGATTCAAACTTAATAAAATATTTATAAATGTAAATAATACTGTGCTTAATTAATTTTAATAAACAAACGGCGTAAAAGTCCTAAGTACCTTTAAAATCACTTATTATATATCGTCGGCATCATGTTAAATTAACGAATGTGTTAGACTGTTAAACGTTGCACATTTTTTACTTTAAGATCATTACTTTAACATGCTGCCGACGATACATAAAGTATTTTTAGAAAATAATAATGGCAATTTTAGATAAGATAAGCAGTATCATATTGATGGCTAGATAACCTGACGTCTTAACCTACAAGCACAAACTTGTGCATATTTTTTACAGTTTACGTACATTAAAATTTGATTTATGTTATTTATTCAGTAATAAACTTTTGAAAAACTATTGGAAACCACAGATTCAAGTTAGTTGATTAAACAATACCTAACATCTTATTAATAAATCATACGCTAAAATAGTTGGTGTAATATTTGTGTATTACAACATATAAAAAAGTAGTGCTCCCTGCATCGAAAAGAAATTTTTTTTTCTACAATAGTTCATCTTAAAACAAATAAAACAATGTAATTTTAATAGAATAATTATTCACGAACTCGTAATAATTTTAGAATGTTTATAAGATTTGGTTTTATGTGAAAATCATATGTATATGGAGTGTGATAATAATATCAATCTCATCTTAAAATCTTAACAAGATATTCCATTTATTGAATAATTTTAACTCTGTGTTTAAACTCATCTAATTTTAATTAATACAGGGTGCTCTGTAAAAAACCAACATAGTAACCGTCTGCTGATTATATAGTTTACATTTAACAGCTCAAATGTAAAACTAATTTTGAAGCTTAAAATGAATGGTGTAGTTGTTAGGCAGTGTTATCTATTTTACAAAAATCAATACTTGGTATCAAGTATTTTCAATTTAGTTCAAGACGGTAGGAAAATAACAAAATTAATTTGTTTTACTGTGATTGTTTGACATAATTTGAACTATAACTTTAAGAAGTAAAACACAATGGATGAAGAAGATTATACCAAACTAAAATTAGAAAATGCTTGTGTTCACAAGGTATGGAAAGCGAGGCTCCTTGGATATGAGGGTACTGCTAAGGTCTTTCAGCAAATTGAAGATGAAAAATCACTTGAATGGAATAAATATATTGGATTAGTCAAAAGGTTTGTGGTCGATAGTCATGCTCTTTGCCAGGAAAAAGGTTTAGAAGCAGTTCTTTTATTTGTTGAAAATTGTGGTAGCGCCGGTCTCACAGCTGGAGATGTTGTTTCTGGAATAATACAGAAATGTTTAGCTGCCCCGAAAGCCCGAACTAGGGAGTTAGCATCTCAGGTAATTTTAATGTATATTGAAATTGGGAAACATGAAATAGTGTTCGATGAACTCATTAAAGGGACAGAATCCAAAAATCCTAAAGTTGTTGCAGCCTGTGTTCATGTTCTGGAACAAGCAGTTAAAGAATTTGGATGTAAAATCATAAATGTTAGCAAGTTGATGAAGCGTCTGCAAAGTCTTCTGGACGATAGGGATGGTAATGTTAGGTCACAGACCAAGTTGCTCATTGGTGTGGTTTATCATTGGATAGGGCCAACCTTTAAACAACAGCTTGCAGCTATACTAAAACCAGCACAATTGGCTGAGGTAGAAACAGAATATGAAAAAGGAAACAATATAGCTGCAAAAGCTACAAGATTTTTACGTTCTCAGCAGACTAAAAAAAATACTGAATTTGTTGCTGCTACTATTGAAAGAGATGTGAGTGCAACTGAACATGAAGAATTTGTTGAGAATGAAACAGATAGATATGATCTACTTGAACCTGTTGATATTTTGAGTAAACTTGATAAAAATTTCTATACTAAACTTGAATCTAAGAAATGGTCTGAGAGAAAAGACGTTCTGGAAGAATTAGAAAAACAGCTTGCTGCAACGCCAAAGCTAGAGCCAGCAGATTATAGTGAAATGATACAAGTATTAAAAAAAATAATAAGTAAAGATTCTAATGTTGTTGTGGTTGGAATTGCTATAAAATGTGTTACGGGTATTGCTAATGGTCTAAGAAAAAAATTTAATCAATATGTTTCTCTTATCATACCTGCACTATTTGAAAAATTTAAAGAAAAGAAACAAAACATTGTTTTAGCTCTTAGAGAAGCAGTAGATGCTGTTTATTTAACAACTAATTTAGAAACATTCCAAGAGGATGTTGTTACTAACTTAGATAATAAAAATCCATGTATCAAGTCAGAACTAAGTGGATTTCTGAGTCGTTGTTTCTCTAAATCAACGCCTAATGTCTTAACTAAAAAATTATTGAAGATACTTTGCAAAGGTTTAAGTAATGGGCTTCGGGATCAAGATCCTACTGTTCGTGATAATTGTGCTCTCGCCTTAGGTACTGCTATGAAAGTAGTTGGTGAGAAAACAATAGCACCATTTTTGGTTGAGGTTGATCCACTAATGCTAAAAAAGATAAAAGAATGTTGTGACAAAGTTAATTTATTAATAAAACAACCAAGTAAAAAAATAAATGAAGGTCCAAAAACTATGCCTGAGGAAGTCAAAGCAGCTAATCCCAGTTCTGGAAAAACGGATAGTACAACTTCAGAAAAGTCACAACTGGAAGAAAGCTCCAACATACTTACAAGGCATGGGATCTCTCAAGTAGATAATCAACATAATGTTGATATTAGTAATCAAATCACTGATAAACTGGTTACAGAATTGGGAGATAAGAACTGGGAGGTACGAGCAAGAGCAGTGGCAAAACTACAAGGCTTAGTTAACTCTTCTCAGGTGATAACTTGCAATCTTAGCTCAACAGCCGCTTCTGTTATTGCAGCAAGAATTTCAGACAGTAATACAAAAATATCTGCTAGTGCCATTGCTTTGGTGGAGACATTAGCTCTTGCTATGGGACCATCATTTAAAACATATGTTCGCATTTTTCTTCCAGCATTGATGAAAGCGATTGGGGATCCTAAGATATGGATTCGTTCAGCTGTAATACCATGCTTCAATACCTGGGGTAAAGTTTGTGGGTTTAAAGAATTTTTTGAAGGAGAAATCATTGCAGAAGCACTTAAAACTGGATCTACAACAGTGAGATCTGAATTATGGGCATGGTTGGCCAATGTATTACCGAATATTCCTAATAACAGAATAAAGAAGGAAGAATTGACAGCTTGTTTACCTATTCTTTATTCTAACTTGGAAGACAGAAGTTCTGATGTAAGGAAAAATGCTAGTGATGCTGTTTTAGGATTCATGTTACACCTTGGATTCACCAATATGACAAAAGCTAGTGAAAATATTAAAGGGTCTAGTAATTCTCAGGTGAAACAAATCCTAGAAAGGACAAGAGGTACTCTTCCTGTTCAACCAATGCTCCAACCCAAGCCAGTAGACGAATCTAAAGAAAAAATTAATCCTTTGATTGCTAAATTGTCGTATGGATCTTCGGCTACAATTTTAAGCTCAAAGTCAAAAGGAAATACACCATTCTCTAAGTCAACCACAATGTCATGTAAAAAAGAAAACACTGGAGGTTGTTTGCTGCAAGTGAATTCACTAAAGACTCAAAGGATTATTGATGAACAAAAATTAAAAACTCTTCGTTGGAACTTTATTACTCCAACGAAGGAATTCTTTGATCTTCTCCGAGAGCAAATGACAGTTGCAAAAGTTGATAAAGTGCTTGTTGCTCACATGTTTCACAATGACTTCAGATATCACATTCGTGCCATAGATGCATTGAGCAACGATTTACTATTGAACAAAGAAGCCTTGATAGCTAATTTAGATTTAATATTGCGTTGGATGTCTCTCAGATTCTTTGATACTAATCCATCAGTACTTTTGAAAGGATTAGATTATTTGAACTCAGTTTTTAGTGTTCTCAAGGAAGAAGAATACAGTATGATGGACAGTGAAGCATCTTCTTTCTTTCCTTATCTAATACTTAAAGTTGGGAATCCCAAAGACACTGTTAAAAATAGTGTTCGTGGTATTTTAAAACAGATAAGTGCTGTTTACCCTGTGAGTAAACAATTCTTTTACTTGAAGGAAGGTATGAAATCCAAAAATGCTCGCCAACGATCGGAATGCTTAGACCAATTAAGCTGGTTAATTGAAAATTATGGCGTTTCTGTCTGTAATCCAAGCCCAGCTGGTGCTTTAAAAGAAATAGCCAAGCATATTGCTGATCGTGACATATCAGTTAGAAATGCTGCTTTAAATTGTGTTATAACAGCTTATTTTCTTGAAGGAGAGAAAACTTTGAAATGGGTAGGCTCTATTTCAGGAAAGAATATGTCACTGCTAGAAGAAAAAATTAAAAGGGCAACTAAAAGTCCTCCTATGAATATTGTAAAGCCATTATTTGTTCCTGTTGTATCTGTAGATGTACCAGAAGATGGAGAACAGTATCAAGACATAATTACTAATATCATTTTACAACAAGATACAAAAGTTTCTGCCATTAATGGAACTTATGGTTTTGACCAAACTGTTATTGATAAAATTGAAAGTACAACAGCACATTTTCAAGTTCCAAAATTGGTTGATATTGATTTACAATTCATGAAAGATCAAATTAAACCAATATCAATTAAATCTGTTACAACTCATAATGTAGCAACAATATCTTTGAACTGCTCGCAACCATCTGCTATCATTCATGAATTATTAAACATAGATAGTAATGATATAGAAAGGGCTATAGCAGCAATATCAAGAATTGATATCATTCTTAATTCAGAAAATTGGGATTATTTAACTGAATTTGTAGATCTAATGGTTTCTCAACTAGTTTATTTAATAATAATTCTTAATCAAAGTGAACATTCAAAAGTAATCAACTGCTATAAAGCAGATTTTTCACTCTTTCTAAGGCTATGTGACCATGCAGAGCTTTGCTCTAAAATTACAGAAGCTACTCTTTATAAAGTATTTGAGCAGCTTATATATCTTTTAACTGAACCACGTCTAGACATGTTAGACGAACAAGACATATTTGTCACGTTTGTTAACAATTTAGTAACAAGGCTTCTTAAAAACTCCAATAAGACCGATATATTTTGTGCCTTATTGAAAATGCTTTACAGTACAGTTAAAAATTCAAAAGTAACTGGTCATTGCAATAGTTTAGTTATCAAATGGATTCAGACCTTAAATAAATCTCAATCAGAATGGGATTCCGAATTAAATTATTGCAGATTACTTTATGAAATCCACATTTTCTTAAAGGATTATCCTACTTCATGGTGGAAAAATAAAGCAGATGATTTTCCTTTGAGAACTGTAAAAACCATTTTATATACTATGGTAAAAATTAGAGGCACTGAAGTAAGAGAAATGTTTAAAAGAATGCCTAATACATCCAAAGACACTGAATTATATAAGTACATCAAGAAAACCATAAAGTATATTAAAGTAGAAGAGTTTTCGAAGGACTCCACTTCAAGCAAAGAGAACCCTAGAAGTGCCAGACATCCTACTCCTAGAATCTCAAAAGAAACTAAATATGAACTATCAGAAATTTTTCAAATGATAGGTGATTTAGAAAAAATGTCACAGGGAATGAAAAGGTTATTTGAATTCAAGAAATCTCATCCTAAAACCGACATGCAAACTTTCCTCTCTAAAGCAACTCCTCAATTCCAACAATTCATTATGCAGGGACTAAAAGCATTAGAGCAGAAATACTTGGAGTCATCAGACACTAACAAGAAGTTGGAGTCATCAGATAATAACAAGAATTTCGAGACATCAGGCAGTAACAATAAGTTGGAGTTATCAGACAGTAACAATAAGTTGGAGTCATCAGACAGTAATAAGAAGGAAACAAAGAGTAAAGAGTTCCAGCAAGTGAAAGGAATAAAACACTTGACTGAGGAAGCTGAATGGCTTTGGAATAGGTTAAAACGTCTGCAAGAAAAATTGGGTTAGCAGGGTGACAAAAATAAAGAATACATAACAGAATGATCTGAGGAACTGCCAAATGTGGTAGTTGATATAAATATGTAATAGGATTTCTATGTATTAAAAGTAAACTTTTTATAATTATTTATATTGATAAACAGAAATATCTTATGTAAAACCTTTTTTTTATAATCTCCAAATATAATAATTAATAACAATTTTTCTTTGATACTTATAATATTTATATACTTTAAATGAAAACAATATAAGCTTCTTTTGTAAGCCATATTTTCTAACTCAAGTGCTAATGATTTGACGCAGTTAATGATTTAATTAAAGAAATACATTTTTTAATTTTCATGATCGAGACGGATATACAATATAGGAGAACGAACCACTTTTTAAAAATTATTTTTCATAGTTTGCTATATTAAGAAGTCTTATTATTTGACTATTCATTGTATGATGTATTTATTATTAAAAATTTTGAACATTTTACCATCATTTCTATTCTATTCTAGCTTTCTAACGAAAATACAAAATCAATATGTCAAGGTGTACCAGAAATTTTGAAGTAACTAAAGATGGAGTGATGTATCCATATTAATGCTTTTATACTTTCATGGTTGAGTCTTTGTTGAGAATCTTTCAAAGGTGTGAAACTTAGACCAAAACATCAACACATATTAAAATTAAGTTAATACCAAGTGAGTGTTTTCTTTCTTGATTTTATCTCCTCTCTCACCCTACTTTCCGTCTCCCATCACTAACCAACATATAGAACTAAATGTTAATGTAATTTCCACAAATTAATTATTGTTTCAGAGCTCTGCTTTTTTTTTTTTTTTTAAATAGAAAATATGGTGATTCATTATTTTTTCCATTCAACTTTTAATTTTTTTTTTAAGCCATTAAAAGAGAAAGAAAAATTTATCCAAGACAAAAAAAAAAAATAAAGAAAAAAAAATTTATTTTAAAATAAAAAAAAGAGAATTGAATAAATTACAGTAAATGTATAAAGATTTAATTAAAAACAGTTTAAAAAACAATATATAATTTACATTTTAAGTTGCATATTTACACATATATATTTATATATTTTATATTTATATGGCAGTAAAAATTACATAGGAATTACGAAAAGTATAAATGATACAATTCTTAAAATGTACACTTGAAAAATGTTATAAAACTAACTAATAAATACTCAAGGATAAATTTCCATGTTCAATTAACTGCTCGTGAAACAGTCTGCAAGTTTCTGAGATTGAACGGTTGGGATATTTTTAAAACACCCCGCTGAACAACTACCCACTGGTGGGCAGTGTGCTGTGCCTCAGAACTCATGAAAGCCTTGAGAAGGTCATTCAGCCAAATGTTGGCTTCATGCTGGTCCTTCTTTGACACAAAGATGTTTTTGATGATGGGATGCTGGAACACCAACTTTGTGGAGTTATACTCCTTGATGGGTAGGTAGCCATACCCATTCAGGCAGAGGAGCCCATACTTGGGAAGGCTGCTGCTATCTTCTAATTCTTCATCCGAACTATCAGAATTGTCATGGAAGATAAGTTGAATTTTATTTTCAATGGGTGAATGTGAAGTGTCTTTGGTGGCTTCTTCAGGATGATGCTGACAATTAGGTTGAATGTCGTGGTTCATTCTTGTTTTGCATCCATTCTTTGCTTTGTTCACGGAGATATTTTCAGGTGCAGATCTTATCTTCAACTGTGAGGTCGGTTTAGGCTGTACAGGATCAATTTTGAAACAGCTATTAGAATTTGACAGGACCCCTTTTCTGATTTCGAAATCCCGCTTAAGGGCAAATATGCGGCTGAAGTTTCTAAGTCGGTAATTAAAAATAGAACCAACGGTTCTTGAACAGTGGTCCTCCAAGTCAAAAAAATGGTGCACTTTGTGAGAAGCAGTCTCCGTCTTAGGATTCTGCAACAAGTTTTTCTGCAAATCGAAGACACGTCCTTGGCAGGTGCAGATGTAGCGGCAATGCATCGAGCACCACACGAACACTTCTCTGAAAGCCATTAGATTTCTTTCGATAGATACAGTGGACAGTCTTCCCTCATTCTCGGTAGTGAGAAAAGAGCCTCTGTTCGGTTGGGTATTACGTTGATTATGAAGTTCCGCGTTTTCCTCATTTTCATCATCGAGGATTTCTATTGTTGGGATTTCGGATTTATCATCCATACTCAGGTCTATAAAAGGAAAGTCTTGCATGGTAGGTGGTTCATCCACTGTCCGTTTATGTCTTTTAGCCTTTCGGGAATTGTCCGGGCTATTTGACAACATGATTTTCACGGTTTTTCTATGAGGAAGATTTCTCAAAGAATATACAAACCGCCTATCGCAGATGCAGTGGAATATGCAATCTTCCTTTTTGCAATGGTTAGTGACGACTTTTTGGCTTAAGCTTCTACAGACACAGCCTTTCTGACAGCAGTGGCGAGGGCACGAGTCGTTGTTGAGAGGAGGCTCAGTCCTGTTAGGTAAATAGTCGGAATCGTATGGTATGTCAAGAGTTAAAAATTCCTCCTTTCTAATTATATACTTCACTATGTCCTCAACGACCTTTCTCACTACGCTCGATTCTTCGGCGCTGTCCCTTCGGGCTGAAATAAAAATCATAAATAAGAACCGAGCCTTATCTTATACAGCATATCTCTAATATTTTCACAAAATAATTAAAATCTATGTAGGAAAAATTTAGATTAGAAACAATAAAAATTAATAACTCTTTTCTTTAAAACTAAAACTTCTTAAACATAGGCGCAGACTTCGAGGGGAGGGTAGACCGTGACTCTCAAAAAATATTGAGGGGATGAGGACATCGTTTCGCCCTCCCAATAATTTGAAGAAAAAATAAAAATAAAAATAAGCTACATTAATGAATAAAAAATGTAAACTAAAATCGATCAAGAAAATTTGACTAGCTAGGGTCTAACCAGAGATGCCCATCCTCCCAAGCTCGATGGCGCAAGAACCTACCCCCTCCTCTCCTCCCAAAATATTTTAGTACTTACCTTTTCTTAAAAACAGAGTAAGCTAAAGTAGAATTAGAAAAAACCATTACTTCAAGATAGACCTTCCTTCGCGCAAACACGACCTGGTCGTCAGCGAAAAACAAGGAAAACAAACTCTTTTTCGCTGAGAGAGAAATAAAATTTGATATTATATTAATAAATCATAAAGAAATGGTAGGTTTTTATGTTCTTCTGTAAAAAAGCTCAATGTTTACATACGACCTTTTGCACTAACAGTTGTGGTAAACTATATTTCATATTCATTACATGCATTTGTTTTTTTTAAATAGACATTTTTCTGCCAAAATTTTATTTTTAAATCAAGTGTAATTAATTTCGTAACCTAATTTAATAAGTTCGCTACTAGATTTACAGATGTGTGCCGTAATATGGATATGGACATTCGACATAAGTTAATAGTTTGATTAAATTACTCTAAATGTAGAAAAATTAAGTTTTAAACATCGAAATGCCATTTGCTCACCTAGTCCATACCCAAATTTCTCCGACTTTGCGATCTCTATGGAACATCAGATATCCCATCAAAATTTTAAGAGTTGCTGTATCATTTATTTAAATTTCAAAATCACGGAAATAATTCCTTTCTTTATGTAAGAATAAACAGAATAAGAGTATGATGTTTTAGCGGATCCAGGATTTAATTTTGGAGAGGGGGGGGGGACTTCAGACCGAAAGTTTTTTTTTTTAATACATAAAAAGATTATTACTTTGGAAGAATAAAAAATTAACTACCTATATGAAATAGTGTTTAAGCTATTGTTTGTTGAAAAACATGAAAGCAACCTGCGAAATAAGAGGAAAACATGAGATTTGTTAATTCATCTACTTTTTATTCCAAGTTAAATTACTACGTTATGGTTACCTGAATTTCAAGGTAGGAGCAATAAGTTTAGTACAATCACTCATTAGAAATCCCACAAAATTTCATACTTAATAACTCAAAAACTTTTACCAATTTTTCAACTCATGCATTATTTTTTACTTCTCATCTGTATGAATTTATGTCAGCGGGTTCCTGACGTTTTCTTAATATTTCTTTTATTTAGTTAAATTGACATTCTTGTACACGAGTGACAATCAAAATTTTAAAAAAAAATGTCAAAAGGTAAACTAGATTTTTTTGAGAATTTTATTACGACTTTTAAATAGAAAAAAAAATACGAAAAAAAGGATAGAAAAATAAAAATCATATGTTAGGAATATAATTTAAATAAATTTCTTTTTCCAAGACTTCATTAATACCAGCCAATACTAAATGGTATTAATAATGTATAAGTGTTATGAAAAGTTCAATATTTTTTCTTAAAATAGATCAATATATTATATTTTAAAGTGAGGATATAAAGTGATTTAAAATTTCTTAGTACAGTTTTGTTTATTTCAATTATTTATTATATGATATTTATTAATATACATCATTCTGTCACATTCAAGGATACTTTAAGGAGTAGCTCATTCACGCTTTATGTAAAGTAAATAAAAATAAATTAAACATCAAAATAATAATACTAAATGCAAACGTTAGTACAGTTTAAAAAAATGTCTTTACTATCGTACGATTCCGATTTTACCATCGAATTTCATTATTCTGGCCATATTTTATATTTGAGAGTTAAGAATATTAAAGACGTAAGTAGAATAATAGAAAAATAAAAAATCAAATAAAAAAATACAAGACTTTAAATATGAAGATTTACCATTATCCATAATAGTGTGATCTGAAAATTATTTTTATGTTTCATTTTATTTTATGTTTAATATGTAATGATATTTATCTGTATAGATGTACAGATATGACAAATAAATTAATAGATAATAATTTGATACATTTTAATTCCAAAATTTCATGAATAAGGCCAGATTTTCTCTGCCCTTCCGATATTTCACAATCTATTACTTTAAACAAAAAAAAAAACAAACCGTGCAAGTAATAGGAATCTACTTTATGTATCTTCTCACTACACTCCCCAATATTTCTTAAGTACCAGCGGAAATGATTATCAGTGATAATTTATCACTCAGTGCCAAGATTATCATGGATATTACCATGGTACTGCCGCATTGCACAGCATTACCCTATTGAATTATTTAT